AATCCTCACTGCGCCGCGGATTCCGGCTGGGGGTTTTTCCTCTTCGTCTTCCTGCTCAAAACACAGCGCCGCTGCATGCTGCGTGCCCGCTTCAGATGTTATCAACCCATGTTCTTTCTTCAGGTAATCCTTTATATACAGAACAGAAACCGCTAAGCTAAAAACTAATTACGAAGTGAATGCTACCAGTCAAAATTTGCATTAATTTCGCGATTTCACTGCTTTTGCAGCTGCTCCGTTCGCGCCGCTACTCCTTTCCGCTTCTCTTTCACGGTTACTGGCGCAACTTTACTTCGTTCCTCAGCAACAAAATACAGCCCATTGTTATTTATTGAAGATTTTACATTTCCAAAAACACAGGAATCTAATGTTTCGTTTCGTACGTTTGGAAGCTCATTCCCTCTCACATAATCGGAAAAGCCGGGGAATGGCGGCGCTTTTGACATTTCTCTGACATTCGGAAAAATATGGTTTACTAATTTTAGCATAACTCCGGTTATACTTGGCCTATTAACACAATTTAAAAACTGGTGTGTAGTTTATAATGTGCACTTTAAGCTCGAGTTGAAAGTTAGACTGAGGGAGGCGGAGTCTTGCTGCTACGCCGTAACAAACTAGACGTTAAAAAGAGCTGTCAGGCTATGGACCCCTATGGTTTAACGGATCGATACTCGCGGATGAAAAATCGATACTTTCCATGGGCGGAAAATATCGATATATATCGCCAAATCGATTTATTTATACAGCCCTAATAAAGAGGGTTATGAGAGAGGGGGAAGACATGCGGCAAATGTCACCAGGCCAGGAATTGAACCTGCGACCACCAGCATGAGGACTAAGGCCATAATACATGGGTTGTGCTTTTCCCCTGCGCCACCACAGCACCCCAATATTATTGTTTACTTACCAAGCACTTAAGCCGTTTTTGCACTGCAAGGAACGGAATGGCACAGGTTCAAAGTAGGGCCGACCGTATTTGCATTAGAACTTCCGACCCGGTTCCACCCGGCTCCTTGGAACCACAAGAACTGTGGTTCCAATCGGGCCGGCCAAGCGGGGCTGCTTAGAATCAGCAGCTGATTGGTTTAGAGTCAGCCGTTGATCAGTTCTAGCTGGCTCTCACTAAACTGTGCTTACTGTATTTTGTAAAGAGTGCTCTTTTTAATATTTCTATTATTTTTAATTTGCAATGAATTCCCCTCAATATTCTGCTGTTACCTGATCCCATGATGAGGTAATTTTTTTCCTCCGCTTACTCGCTGATGAACGAGTACAGAATGAACTAGATCGGTCAATGAGGAAAGAGAAAGTTTTCCGCCGCATCTCTGAGGAAAAGGCTTCGGCCGCTACATCAAAATCATTGTTTAGTTTCAAAAATAATGATGTCAGGTACAGCTTCGATGCTGTCCTCAGTTATATGCAAACACAACAGGGCTGCAGTTCGGGTGGAACAGGACCGAAGCGTGCCGTTACGTTTAGAGTGATTCCTTCAGATGTTATGTTTCAAGGTTAAAACGGTATCAAACAGCAGGGTATTTGGTGCATTTTATTTACTTTACAATTGCATGTAAGCTACAGTTTGTACTGTTTCAATTAAAAGAAACATGTTTTCTCACCACTTCTTTGATTCATTTTGTCCAGCTGTCGACTTTAAGTCTGTGTCCATGTCCAACCAGAGCCAGGTATTGTATAGTTTGTGCTTTTAATCAGTTTACAGTTAAATTAATTCATTCCAACTCTATATTAGTCACAAAATGTCACCAAAATCACTCTGTCCCTCTNAAATATTTCAGAAAATCGCTAAAGTGTATTGAATTGTATCATGAACAGAATATCGCAACATCGTGTCATGAGCAGAATATCGTGTATCGTATCGTGAGATTATTGTATCACTACAGCCCTAGTGGCAGCTGAGTGCGGGGACCTTTGCGATCCTCGGTTGCAGAAGCTAGCTATTGGGAAGTGGAATGTCACCTCTGTGGTGGGGAAGGAGCCTGAACTGGTGTATAAAGTTGAGAGGTTCTGACGAGAAATTGTCGGCCTCACCTAAACGCCTGGCTCTGGTTCTAGAACCAGTCTCCTTGAGAGTGGTTGGACCAGAGGTCGCGCTAGACTTTTTTGTTCTCCGTCATCTTGACTGACAGTATTAAAAAAAAAAGTCGGTCATGTTCCATTTTTATCCGTCAAATTATAATCAACGTAGGCTATGTAGCCGCATTTTTATGCGGTTTAGTTAATATTCACCTAGTTTTACCAAATCCAGATCCCATCACAAATAAAGCTAATGAACACGTTTAACTTTTTCTCTGTAGTGACGAAAATCACTGTGGCCCCTATAACTTATTATAAATTAAATTAAAGACTCCACTTAAATTACTAGCACTTCACCCACTGGGGTCTGAACGCACAGTGTCTCACAAATTCCTCCTGGTCACAACTGCAAAGAAGTCTGCGCTAGTTCATTACTCATTTGGATCTGTCTGATCCAAACAGATCAATTAAACTCTGAGTTTTTTTTTACCCTGTGCGGTCCGGGCGTGCGCTTTTACAAGCATTTTTTTGCGTAGTTTCGCTTCCCCGAAACAGACAAATGTTACATCTTCCGCACTCCTTCCAGAACACCACTCTCCTTCTCAGCGCAGGAGATAATGTGAACAAAGGCTCCTTTTATTGAAACCACAAGATGAGATAAGTTTAATTCTTCGCAGAGGCAGAGCCGCGTCCACATTGGGTGTTTAGCCACAACACACTGCACATGTTACGGTCTATTCTAATTAACCTCTTCAGCACCTTTATTTATTTCCTCAAGATAAACTGCCGGCTCCTCTGTTTAGACTATAAATGGATTAACATAACATTGCATTCTCTTTATTTTTTATCCTGTTCTGTATGCACTGGAGACTTTAATTAAATGCGCCATTTCAACCAAAGGTTTGGAAATGCGCTTCCTAACCAGATGCTCCAAAGCGTCCGGTCCATAACTCTTGAACACGCCTTTGGCTCCCAGTCAGAAAGACGCATTTAGTTCAGACTCCATAAGATAATGTTCAGAAAGGAATTTTTATTGACTGATTTTATTTGCCTCTGTGATGAACTCTTTATGTAAAGTCTAAAATGACTGCCCATGTGTTCCAGTCAAGGGTGTTAATGATAACCTGTCAAAATGACCGACAGGCTTCAAATTTTCCCATAGTTTAAAAAAAACAACCAGTCAAATACGGAAAAAATTTGGTTAACGCGACCTCTGGGTTGGACACGCTTCCACTCTGTAGTTGCCATGATGAGAGGCACCGGGCAGGAGCGGGCATACTTGTTGTCCCCCCATCTTGGTGCTGATAGCTTGGGGTTCACCACAGTGAAACAAGAGGGTAGTTTCCCTCCGCCTACCAGTGGGGGGACGGGTTCTGATTGTGTCTCATGCTTATGTAGATTGTAGCTGTGGTAACAAAACAATCTAACTATGAATATTGTTCTTTGCACTTTTACAAAGTAAACTTGCCAGCTCCTTAAAATCTTAAACTTAAATGTTAAATTTAAAAAAAAATTATGTATCTATGCTAAAACCATTAAATCCAATTTAACAGTAATGACATTATCAATAGACAAATGTTAAATTTCTGTATCTGTGGTCTCTGTTAAATTGTTAGCATTTATGGGGGGCCTTGCCTTATAAAAAGCTGCTTAGTTCATTTATGCCTTGGGCCAGTTGTAAATGTGAGCAGCATTACATCATGTTTTTAGATCCACCAACTGATGACTTACTTTGGATTTAACATAAATGCAATTAATTGATGTTTATTTTAAACAAAAAAGTACATGATAAAAAATGTATTAAATGTAGTTGAATTGATAAATAACAGACTGTTTCATGGAAAATAGACTTTGGATTTAAAATTCAATTCAGCTGCTTTATTTTGGGGTTTTGGTACAGCCAATCATTTTTAACCCGTAGTAGGACAAGGGGAGTTAAGATCGCACAACGGTTAAGGAGCTGCTGACTTAATTTGGATTTAACAGAAATGCAAATAATTAATACTTATTTTAATTGGGGGTTTTATCATTATTATTTATTGTTTTTAATATTCTATAATTGTAGGTTTAAGAATTGTCGTCAAAGTCTTCCAGTAACATAATTATCCAGTAATATTTTTACATTTCCAGTCAACTTAACATCTTGACCTTTGTGCGTGCGAGGACTGAGGCAAACGTAGAGGACTGTGGCAAATGATACAAGTTTTACAGGTGTGGGGTCGGTTGGACCCCATTTGTAAACACAAGGGTTAATACAGTCGGTGGACTGAATCAGTGCCCTGACCTCCGGACCTAGCAAGTTTTCTGGGGGAAACCCTGCAGTTCCAACAATCGCGTGGGGGGTGCGGGAGGGGGTCTCAGACCTCACATGCCTGCTCTTTCCAGCTACTAGCTGTAACTACTTCGAACACCGGCAAACTTTTCTCTGAACCTAATTGTTACGCTCAGAAAGACATGTTGAAGAAAAAACGGACAAGCTATATACAGGAGAAGAGTAAAATGTGTTCGCTGAATGGTGTGGGCTCTGGTTCCCAGGTGAATAAAGAACCAGCGGAGATGAACGCAGCATCCCTTTATAAGCGGCTAGCTCAACTAGCTCCAGATGCTAACACGTTGGAGCCCATGCGGTCCAACCGGCTGAGGCAGCACATCATCTGGGGGAAAAAATCACCCTCTCTCCGCTCACACCTACATTAACCGCCCAATAAAAAACACCTTATTGAGTGTTTACATGATTTTTTGGTATTTTTTCAACTGAGACAGAAATGAATGACTAAAGGCATCATTATTAAACGTAGACGCCGATATAAAATGGACGCTTTGCTGCTCGTTAACTACGAGGCCGAATATGAAAACAAGTAGAGAACGAAACACATATTGCTAATTCTATTGTAGACTCAGGTATGGTGTGAGTCAATCTAATAGAGCTGTGAAAGTCAGTTGTCGTGTTTCCTCCGCTAAGATCTTACCTCCATCCTCTCTGCTGGCGCGGCCATTTCGATCTTCTGCTGAACGTAGTTGACTTCTTCCTCTACTATTTCCCTTTCCTCTAAACAGTTCCAATCGTCCTCTGTCAGGACCTTACTGACACCTACCGGCAGTTCTCTGCTTAACAACCACAGAAAGAAGGAAGAAAGGAATGTCCTTACTGTAATTCCTGAGGAGTGTG